CTGATTTCTCCTAAATGCCGCTGTTTTGTTTCATTTATTTTATTTTATTTTATTTTTTTAAAGTGCGACCAATTTCAGGCTGCAACATGATGGTCTTCCAGCGTGGAAACGGGGTGCACGGTTGATGGGGGACCGGAGGGTTTGTACCTCCTGACAGTCACCAGGAACAGGGCAGTTTTTGGACGTGAACTTGAGTCTCTTTAGTGGAGAAGGGGGAAAACGCCACCCGTCCTGTCCCTCCTGCTCTCCCTTTGCTGGTGACTCGTGCGGCGGCACGATGCGAGTGCTGCTGGCAGCTGCTTCGGGGGGCGTCTCCCGCCGCGGGCGTTGGTCTGGCTTTTGTGTGTCCCTGGCTGTGCTGTTGCGTAGAGGTGGTGAAGACCTTTGTCCAGCTGGAAAATCTGATCCTTTTTTTTTTTCCTTCCTTTCCCATATGCCCTCGTATTGCCATCCTAGCACAAAAAGAAAAATGCGAACGGCTGCCGCATGTTGCAATCGCAAGCGGGTGCTGCAGGTTGCAAGGGCCAAAAGCAGTCACATCCATCAGCGATCAGAGGTGGGATCTGCAGGGGTGGAGAGTCTCTGCTCTATGGCTGGAGCTGGGGCTGCTTGACCTTGGAGCAAATCACTTGAAGTGACGGCACCAGCAAGAGGGCGAGGGCTCTGGGGAGCTCGGCAGTAGATTTTTAGCGTGGTTAAGGCACGCGCCGGGAGCTGGATAACCAACGTTTGCTTGGATAGAGCGCGGCTCGGGTTAGCAGTGCGGCGGCGTGATGCGAGCCTTGCCGGGTGCGAGCGCCCCGGCCAACGCGGCCGGTGGCTGCAGCTGCCCTTGGAGGGGCTGAGACGCTTCCTCCATGCACCGAAATGCAGCCCAAATAGTAACCCAGCGCCGCGGGGTCACGTTTGCGAGAGGGAGGAAACGAACCTCTGCGATGGCCCTTGTCGGGCCGCTGGAGAGCTGACAGGGTTTGGGTAGAGCCACGTGTGGGGTTGTCCTCCTTTCCGGGCACCTTACTCCTGCAAGAGGAGGAAAGCCAGAAACACGGTGACTTTTTCTTGGCCACTTTGATATTTTTTTTCCCTTCCTCTGTCAAAGAATGTAAAAAGGCAGAAAAGAAACATTACAAACTTGTTTCCTCTGTAAGTGGGCCAGTGAGATCTGTGAAGTTTTGCTTCCAGTTGTCAAAGCTTTGAAAAAATGCTTAATTCTTCTCCTTTCTTCTCAACCTCCACGTTTGGCTTTTTTATTTTTTATTTTTTTTTGCTATCACGAGCTTTATCTGGAGAAACTTTTATTTTTTTTTAATCTTTTTAAAAATATCATATAGGTTCCCTGAGCCACATCAATATGAGCAGCTCACCCCTTGTACCTGAAGACCTAGCTCAGCAACTTCTGCCCTCGCTCAAGCCAGCTCTGCCGTGCAGACTTCCCTTTGTGGGCAGGTCTGATTAAACACTCATCATTTTCCAGCTTCAGCAAGAAAAAAATTTACTCGGCCTGAGCTTGCACCACTGAATTTAGTGCAAGAGAGCCCCCACCTTCCCGACCAGCCCTTTCCCTCTGGCGCAGCATCTCTGATCCTGTTTGGTGTGCGGGCGGGCTGCCCTGTGCTGCGAGCGCGGTCCCTTCGTGACACCCTCCTCTTGCTTCTCCTCCATATATGTCTTTTTTTTTTTCTTCTACCTGTCCCTGTTTCTCCTTCCCTTTCCTTTATCCTCTTATCCTTGTCTGTAACCTTCCCTGACTTCATCCCGGAAGAGGGCTGGCTTAATCCCGCAGCTGTAGTTCTCCCAAGGTGCATGCACTGAGCCGTGCCCCGGCACGGTGACGTCTCTGTCCTGCTCGGCGCCGCGCTGGCTTTGCGGCTAGCGGCCCAGCGAGGGGGACATCTGGATGGGGACTGCTGCCGCCTCCTCGTGTCGGTGCAAACGCGTACCGCCTGCGAGGCGGGGCCGAGGGAATGGCTTTGCCTGGCCAAAATGCAGCTTGCA